TCCTCCAACTCCAAATAGTATGTTCTTTCTCCTACATCTCGCTTCTGGGGTAACCCCTGAGACCTGAGCTCAATTTGGAGTCTAATCTCACAAGGCAGAGAATCACCTCTTATTTCATCTGTGTCTCAAGCCTGCACACTCACTTCATATTGAGTGTGACTGAGCTCATGCAGGAAGATTTTGTAACCATGAACCTAGAATTCCTAGAATGATGTATATGTTAGTGTTCCATTGCTCCTTAGATGATTACCAAAAATTTAACAGCATAAAACAACATGCATTTATTAGCTCACTCTTTTCATAGATCAAAAGTCTGGTGCAGTGTGGCTGGAATGCTCAGGTTCTCACAGGCTGAAATCCAGATATCAGCCCACCAATAGTCTCATCTGGGGGCTTAGGGACTTTTTCCAAGCTCACATGGTCGTTGTAGGACTCTGTTCCTTGCAAGTGTGGGACGGAAGTCCCTGCTTCCTTATTGGCTGTCCACTTGAAGACCCTCTGCTTCTAGAGGCCACTCCCATTCTTTCTCACATGGCCTCCTCCCTCTGTCTTCCAACCGGCAACAGTCTCAAGTACTTCACCCATTTTGAATCTCTGACTTTTGCCAATGGTCAGAGAAAGTTCTCCACTCTTAAAACTCATGATTAGATCAGGCTCACTTGAATAGTCTCCCTATATTAAGGTCAACTGTGCCATATAACATAACATAATGACAGGAGTGATATGACAGTCACAGGCTCTATGGATTACGGTGTGGAATGCTGAGGAGTGGCATTTTCAGAACGTTACCTCCTACAGTGTATCTTTAAGTGTCTCCCCTTTCCCTTGAGAATAACTTAGAATGTAAAGCCATGGACATTGGAGCCAGACTTCCTGGGTTCAAATTCTGGCTCCAACATTTCCTAGTCATGCAATATTGTGCAAGTTACTCAATCTCTCAGTTCTTTGATTTAATTCTCTGAAAAATGGAGGTAATAAAAGTGTGGGTTTCAATGAGTTGTTGTACACTTTAAATGAGTTAATGTGCCAGAAGAGTACTTAGCACACTGAAGCACTATGTGGGTCTTTGCTATTATTATTGTTGATATGATTATAATATATCCACTAATGTAGAATCTAGATTTCTACCCTTCGAGGAGCAGACCCATTATTGCACTTTTCTCTATGCCACCTTCTCTATAAGTTTTAGTATTATTTGTTAAAAATATAATTCATAATATGGAAAAACACACTTAAAAATAGTGTTTAACTCACATGAAAGAACAAAGATTTTTCAAATAAAAGATAACCACGTTTAGTTTGTAAACTTATTTTTTAAGTGAGGGAAACATAGCAGATTCAGTTGACTATATTATAAACTCAAGAACAGAAACATAGAAACTTTTTTGGTACCATACCTGTTTCTAAATGGGCTCTAATTCCATGTAATAACTAGGAACAAAAGGAGTACAAGCAGATGGGAATAGGAAGTTTAGGGAAAGATGTGGAAGCTGAAAAGAGACTGAAAGAAATATAGAAGGAATGAGATGAAAGGTAATAGAAAACCAATGAGAAAGAGAAAAAAACAGGCAAGAGCAGAGGAAAGACCACTGAGAGATAGAGAGGGCAGGTAAGGAAAAGGGGAAGACACTGATAACATTTATTGGGCATCTAATATATGTCTGATTTAGCTAGGGACATAGGTTTTCTCACTGAATCCACAGAACAACTCAATGGAGTCAGTATTATTGTCATCATTTTACAGAAAAGAAAACAGTGACTGAAAGAGTCTAATTTTCCAAGACCAATTATGTTCTTATACACATTAGAACCTACATCTTTGTAGGTTCTACAGAGCTCATTGTAACATGCTGCTCTCTTGTCCAAAGGACTAATGGTGAGATTGAAAGTATTCATCACAGCTTGTTGGTCCATCTCTGAACAGTGTGCCTGTTAGGTGGGCTTGGGTGTTACTATTCCTTAACACTACCTTATGGTGTTAATTACTTGAGTCAAAACATTTGGATTCTATTTAAAGTAGAGCTTCCAAAGATTTATACCTCAGGATAAGTCATCCTACTGAGCCTCAGTTTCCTCTGTAAAATAAAGGCTTTGAAATAAATAGATTGCCAAATTCTAAAAATCTACACTTAATGTCATGCTGCCAGGTTTCAATCAATTATTCTTGATCTCTTAGATGTCTCCCGGCCATTCCAGTTCAGGGCAGGAAGCAGTAAGGGGGGAAACAATCTCCATGGGAGTAGCAAGGATTTATCGAAGTGAAATAGAGATCCAATCAATAGCTGTCTTCACATAGCAAAAGGCTGCAATGTGGATTGGAGAGTAGGTATTTTTAGTTGCTCAAGTTAGGACCACTATTCAGTTACCACTACACAACCTTAAGAGGCAGTATTTACATATGCAGTCATAGGCTGTAGCGCTGGCTCCAGGAAGCCAGAACAAGACCCATGGGTAGAGGACAGATTAAAAAAAAAAAAAAAAATGTGACTCAATAGAAAAATAACAAACTTTGTAATGTTTAGAGTTGCCCCTTAACATTGTGAAAAATTTTGCCTTTAGGAGTTTTTATGAAGGAACCACATGAGGTAGAAGATTCTACTCTTGAATTAGAACTTCAGAGAGTACATAAGTGATATTCAGGATTAATTTTTGGATGTATTCAAAGCTAGCTTGATGATCATCCTAGTTGTGAAGCATTAATTTCATGAGTTGATATTATGGCCAAATAATGGTATCTACCTCATATGGCTGCTGCAAGTATAAAGATGACTGCATATATTCTATTCCTTCCTTCCTTCCTTCCTTCCTTCCTTCCTTCCTTCCTTCCTTCCTTCCTTCCTTCCTTCCTTTCTTTCTTCTTTCTTTCTTTCTCCTTTCCTTCTTTCTTTCATCTATCTATCTTTTGATCTATCATCTATTTATCTAAGCACAATTCCCCACACATAATAAAATCTCAACAAATTTTAGCTAGCATTATGATTATTCTATTTACAATTATTCAATGCTGCTTCTAGCAGAATTTCCTTTTACCTCTGCAGGCATGAGATTGTTCCCTATATTTGCAGTCAATCAGTGGTAGCACGGTCACTTTTCATTCCTAACAGTGGGGATAGGCACTCAACATAAAGTCTATTGTATCCCAAACCTTAGAGTCAGAATTTGGCTAAGAGATGGAAATTCCCCTATTTCTAGGCAAAGTAGTATGAGATAATGATTGTGGGCTATCAATTTCAGAACCATCTTCCAACAACTCTGTTCTTAAACTTTGAAAATGGCACTTCACCAGCATCCAGTATTAGCAAACCCAGTCCCCACTATGACTCATGAGAATTACACAGTATCTATTTCAAATTGTTCACTCTGTAGCATGGATATTTCTGTACTCTGAAATTAATCTCATCAATTCAGCCTGAAAATTCTATTGTCAAAAAGCATGTGTTTCCTGTGGGAGTGTCACTCATGTTTTTTGGTCTTGAAAGGAGATGCAGATGCACCTGAAAAAAAAAAAAAGCCTGTGATTCTCTTCCACAAGCTGTCGTAAGTAATCACTGCATTGAAACAAGCGGATAGGGAACAGAGTGTCCTTGGCTGCTTTATAAGAAAAATAGTAAACTAGCTTACTTATGTTTAATGAAAAAAAAAGACAAGGAAAGGCTACATGGCTTACATGTATGATACTTAGGTCACAGTCCTCATTGTGGCCCCATGCAAGCTAAAGTCATTCTTTTTTTTTTTAAATTTTTTCAACATTTATTTATTTTTGAGAGAAAGAGACAGAGTGGGAGTGGGAAAGGAGCAGAGAGAGAGGGAGGCACAGAATCCGAAGCAGGATCCAGGCTCTGAGCTGTCAGCACAGAGCCCGATGTGGGGTTCGAACTCACAAACCATGAGATCATGACCTGCCAAAGTCAGACACTTAACTGACTGAGCCACCCAGGTGCCCCATAAGCTAAAGTCGTTCTTACCTATAAGACTTTGCTTGTGTTACCTTCTCTCCCCCTACTCATTAGTTTAACTTCTTTTTCCATCTCCTTTAATGAATTCATTAATTCAAAAACTCACTCATTCATTCAGCAAGAATTTGTTGGTTCACTTCTATATGTAACTTCTTGGCCTGAGGGGATTCACAGTCTAGTAGAAGCATGAAATTAACACTGGGATATGTTTTTCTCCCCAGGGAAATCTCTTTTAATTGTTCCAATCTACAATGCCTGTTAGCTAGTGCTTTGATCTCTGATAGAATTTCATATTATTTACTGATTGTCCTGTGTGCCTCTTAGTTGCCCAAATAATCTTCGGTTCTTTAAAGAGCAAGGGTCCTGATTCAAACAGCTATTAGTCTATCCTGTGCATTATGTGACTCCACTCCATCTGCCTACTCAAGCTCACCTTGTGGTCCTCATCCAGTCAACCTCATCCAGTTGGTTTCTCTCTTGGTTGGGATAACTTGTTCTTTCTCCTTCTATGTTCTAATTCAGATTTGTGGGGTTACTGAAATCTTAATTATTTTTAGACCCAGAATAGAATCTTCTTATGGAATAGTTTTTAGATTCTCTGTTCAAACTCCTACAGAAAGCCCTTATAAATGGACTAAAAAAAATAAATCTATGAATACATACAGTGTCTATACCATTGCCCTATCTGCTAATACTACTTACAGTATATTGTTTTCTATACATTTTATTATTTGCTCATCAGCTCTGAGTATTCTTCCTTCCAACTAGACTGAAGGCCCCATGGAACAAGAGATTTATCTGCATACCCTCCTCATGGTGCCACGCTAAATGTTGAATGTAGTGCCCTTCAACAAACACAAATTAAATACTACTTGAAATTTAGTAAGTAATAAGAAATCTGCAAAGTCATTACAGAAAGCTTGCTGTGACAGCTGTGTCTTTCAAGTACAGCCTTGTAAAATTATTATTCTGCAAAGGTATAAATGTGTCTCATTGATGTGGCAGATTTACTTTCCAAATAATTCTAACGTTTCAGAGCTTTACCTGAGTCTGCCATCCTCTGCTGCAGCACCACCCGGTATAATCTTCGTAATAAATATGCCAGGGTCATCTCCAATGTGGGGATTATCTGTCCCTCCAGCAATACTGAATCCCAGGCCAGAATTCCCCTGGAGAAACAATAAGTAGACATTAAATGATATGGCTGTCACCTAAACCTAGTTCCCCTTGCATCCTGTGTTATCATCTTACTACTCAAATGGAAATCAGGTGATAACAGTCTTCTATGCAAAGCTATAAAGTGCACTGTCAGCAGACAAAGGAAGGTCAGGAAAAACACTCAAGTTTGTCTCTGCATTGCAAGAGGTCTAAGGGGTCTTATATTTTTGTTTCTACAAAGGACTTCATATTTTCGCTTTTAAGAAATGTTTCTGTTACATAGCAATTAAAATGATCATTACACAGTAGGAAATACAAGCTTACAAATTGTGTTATATGCAAAACTGCAAAAACATTAGTGTCAGTTGTAAAAATTATACATACATATGGAAAAGAATGGAAGGAAACCAGTTACATGAAAATTGATTTGGTAGAGTAGTGAATTTGGCTGTTTTAATTTTGTTATTTCCAGCACCGTTATGCATCAAATAAATGTGTTCCTATGTAACAGGAAATGTTGACTTCAGAAGGCAGGTCTCTCTTCTACAGTTATAATAAATGTGAGATACTTTCCAGTAATAAACAGGTTTTAATTTGCAATAGACATAGGCAAGGAATGCATTACTACTGCAGAATATAAATTTGATAATTTATATTCTAATAAAGCTTTCATACTTACTCATGCAGATTATAGCAATTGACATCCAATATACATGTAACTTTCTAAAATCTGTATGTAAGACGTAATTAAAAGTCTTCCCCAAATTCACAAACCATCTTACTTATTTATTATTTTTAATAATTTTTTAATCTCCATCTCCCTGGCTACATTATGTCTTAATATTATGTTTTCACATTATATTTTAAGCCATATTCATATACGTAGGTAGTGTTTATAATTATCCATTTTAAATGGCTAAATATTTCATCAAGGTCATATATTAGCATGTATTTAACCAGCCCTCTGTCACTGGATATTTAATTTCTCTACAACCAATACAGCTTCCTAAAGTTACTAATACTTGATTAATTTCTGCTCTTGGATAAAAAATGATGAGGACTAAGAATTTAGTAGTTATCCAGAAAAATTAATTAGGACATTCAATTAGTCAGAAAAGTTCAATGTCAAGATAAGATCAGCTGTAACCTGACTGTTATATCACTGCAAATGTCAAGGTAATGTTTAGCAATTTTTATTGACTTAAATAATAAAAATTCCAAAAGGTTGTTTACACAATTGTACATTTATGTTGAAAGGCAGAAATTAATAATTCAACCATAACAACTGAAATCCCATGTCTTTATACTTCTGGCAGTTCTCTAATTCTGGTTTTCTTCAAAAAAATCCAAATCTCATTTAACAGAGATATTACTCAGTAGCAGTCATGTGGTCATAAATTTACTTAATATTCTTTAAACACCAGCTCTGTGTCTGGCATTGGACTAAGTCATGGAACTATAGCAGTGAACATCTCAGTTTATGAGGCACACGAAGCATAAGTTCAGGGTGTAGAAGTGGCTAACAAAAGAACAAAACACAGGAACTTTCCCTGAAGGTGAAGAGCAGTTAGCAACTTTTGAAGGGGTCAGAATGGGAACTGGGGATGAGGACAGAAGGTTCCAGACAAAGGAAGAACATATGTAAAATCTCTGAGGTGAGAAATGGTACACTAGTTCCAAGACACAGACAAGAATTCTCAAATGAAGATAGCAAAATGAACCAGATGAGGTAAGTATTTACCATGAATGCAAGTGACTCTATTCTTGATTTTAGGTACCTATTGATGCCAGATGAGTCTATCAGTTTTGTTAGAGTACGTATTATGTGACTTTAAGGCTACAGGGAAACTAAGGCTGCAGGGAAAAAACCAGAAGATTTCTCCCTTCATGGAATTTAAGGAAGAACAGAAAAGGCAGTGATAAGCTGGCATCTGGTAATCAATACATTTTCACTGCAATGTCAACTACATTGTCATGTATATGGTTACCAGGACAGTATTTAGATGACTTATGAGGCAGTTTCTCTAAGATCTTGGGGTTTGGGAAGAAAAGAAAAGGAGATGAGTATCTTCATTGCAATGTGGGTCTAGTTCCAAGAACATCAGTTGGGGTGTATTGGTTTTACAAGAGTTGGCACCTCAGAGATAATTTCTTGAGTAAGGGGATAGGGAAAGAGGCAAGCACAGACTTGGAGGTACTCAAATGCTTACTCCTGAGAGTATACATATTTTTGGAGAGGGCATTTAAAACTTTGCCATTTGAGAAAAAATATTCACTATCTGGCTCTTAACCCAATCTTCTTTATTTCTAGCTTTACACTTTTACCGCCAGGAATGCTGAACTGAGCTGCAGGCTCTTTCCTGCAGAGTCCACACTATGACTTGTCTCCTGACCTTTACTCATGCTGTTTTCTCTACCAGAAATTTTCTATCTCCCTGGCCCAATTCTTTCTATTATCTAAGATAAGGCTCACATGCACCCCAATGTTTATAGTAGCACTATCAAACCTTAGCCAAATGATGGAAAGAGCCCAAATGTCCATCGACTGGATAAAGAAGATGTGGTATATACATAAAATGCAATACTACTTGGTGATCAAAAAGAATGAAATCTTGCCATTTGCAACAATGTGGATAAAACTAGAATGTATATGCTAAGCAAAATAAGTCAATCAGAGAAAGACAAATATCATAAGATTTCACTCATATGTAGAATTTAAGAAACACAACAGATGAAAAGGAAAAGATAAGACTGAGAACGCAAGTGCGTAGAAAATATTAAATGTTCATCCCAAATCCACGTCTCTGGGTAATTTAGTACTCTTTTGTGTTTTCTGTGCTTATCTACACCATGCATTATGTTATTTTGATGTTATATACTTATGAGTCTATCCTTTTTTCAAACTAAGCTTGTAGAAGACAGGAACTGTGTAGCATTCATCCTTGTTTCTTGGTTCTTTCTCTGGCACATAGTATTATTCAATAAATAATTGATGAATGAATCAACAAATAAACTTACTGAGGATATTCAAGAGTTAAAGGAAAGACTCAGAAAAGACACGGTGAAAGTCCACACTGTGTTAAGAAATACAATATAAAAGTATAAGCCATTTTATTCCATGTAGCTACAAGAATAAAAATGGAAACTCAGGTATTCAAATTGTGGCTTAGCTGAAGGACAAATGATGAGACAAAACTGTCCAAACTTTGTCAAAACCGAGCAGGGGATAAAAAATAAAATTATTTATTTTACTGGAAGGGAGGTAGGGGCCTTCTCCTACAGAGCAGCTGCTTAGTCACTGACCATGAGGGACCTGAGCATCTTCTGAGAGGTTAAACTGAATGACTTTAAAGGATTCTTCTGGCTCTTTGGCTAGATTTGTAGGAAAACTACTCTTGGCAACAAAGAAAAAGGAATACTTTAGAGGTGAAAGTTGATCACTGTTGCATTTTTAAAACTTCCATTATTAATCAATAGATCTTTGAAGTAATAGCTATGATGACAATCTAGAAACATTTAACTACTGTTTTTGGAATTGACTCTAATATGGAGAATATGGTGGCTTTGGCATCTATTAATATACATTTTCCTGCCCTCAAATCTACTTTGAGGAAAAGAATGGGTCAGGGAATCCACCATGAAAAGAGGTAGGTAGAGGCAGAGTGTAACTGGACCTGTGTACCCAGTCTCAAGGATTTCCAAAAGCAAATTTTGTGTTTCAGTTAAAACCAGTCTGCCAGCTGGGCCTGGCCAGTCCCCTTGGTTTTTTAGAGGATGTTCATCTGAATTCAGCTAAGGAAATTATTTAAAGTGTTTTCCATCTCCCCTTATTGTTCTCTCTCAGCCGTCCTTTTCAGGCCTTTGCCACCAGCCAGCATTGAGTGGAGAGAGGGACAGATAAAAAGCAGCAGTGAAATTACTGCCTGCTGTTCTCCATGGCTGAATCACTCCAGCCCCCTGATAATCATCACAGAGCCAGCCAGCTGCAGGGGCAGACCCCAGAACCTCTCTTTTCTGAGCAGCAATCTCTCCATGTGAACAGGCAGACCCCTGGCTGACATCCTTAGATCCTGAGAATTGTGGCTAATTAACCAAGTGTTGATACTTGACCCAGTCAATGGCAACCGTGAGGTGCCATGCTGGTGAGGGCAGTCCCTGTATAGGACTCTGGGTGGGCTGCTGTTCCCTTTCAATTGGACAGATTCCATGATTGATGAATGTGGTTGGCACAAACCTTTCTTTCTCCTGGTTCCCAAACCTCCACATTTGTTGACTCTCCCCCAAGAGCACAAGCCCATTGCCTAGCCAAATGGCACTTCCTCCATCATGTACTATACTCCATCTCCTCTCAGAAAAAGAATCAACAAAGAGGAAAGACACTTTATCAATTAACTGATGGTTGCAAATATAAATACTATACCCTTAGAAAAGCTCCTCGTTCATTTGAAGTTATTCTTTACATGAAAATTACTCCCAAAATGGGGTTACAAAAAAGAGAAAAATAAAATTATATCGTAATCATATGCATTTACAGAATGTTCTATTTACAAAGAATTACTTTGATTTTTTAGAAGTTCCTACTTTACAGTATTGTGCGATCTGGTAATTCAATTCTAGGCATTCATCCTAAAGAAATAATCAGAGATGTGTGCAAAGATTTGTATTCAAAGCTTCATGACAGTATTATGTTTTTATTTTTTTTTTTTAATTTTTTTTTTCAACGTTTATTTATTTTTGGGACACAGAGAGACAGAGCATGAACGGGGGAGGGGCAGAGAGAGAGGGAGACACAGAATCGGAAACAGGCTCCAGGCTCTGAGCCATCAGCCCAGAGCCTGACGCAGGGCTTGAACTCACGGACCGCGAGATCGTGACCTGGCTGAAGTCGGACGCTTAACCAACTGCGCCACCCAGGCGCCCCATGTTTTTAATGTTAAAAACAAAACAAAACAAAGAACAACTCACAACTGGAAACAAACATCCAAACAATAGAGAAATGGTTAAAAATACT